GTTAACTCCAAAACTAACACAGAATCCTGCAGTACGTGTTTTATGGAAACGTTGTCCCTTTCTTATAAACAGTCTATGGTTCCATCTCTTTGTTCTATGCCTTCATTATTATTTATTTATTTTTTATTTATTTACCAACTACATTTAAACCAAGTTTAAAACGACTCTCGACTGTCAATAACACGGTGCTCATCGAAACCAAAACTTGAACTCGATCATCCTTGAACCTTTGTCAAGACTCAACACCTGTCACCTGAAAATCACTGCATGGACCCAACATGTTTTTCCTTGTCATACACCTGTGATGCATAATGAAGAAGGTTTGAACTGAAATGCAATCGCAAAGTAAATATATAAGATTACGCTGCTGCAACTGAGCTGGAGAACAGGAGGACCGGCGTGTTATTCTCTTTACAGTCACCGTCATTGTTCACGTGATGGACAAAGCTCTTTGAGACAGATTATGTTACATTTTCTCTTCTTTTGTGGTGAGAGGGACATTATTTAGGGCCGGGGCCAGAGAATAGTGACTCTTTCAGACCATTGTTAGGCTCTGCCACCATAGCTAACGGAAGCCAAAAGACCTTTTTGCACATCTATTCTTAAAAAGCAGGTCACAATAATACCAGTGAGGAGTCGGCAATAAATAAACCTTCCCTCACTCAGTCAGATGGATTAGATTGCAGGGGGACATCTGTTGAGTGTAGGTGTGTATGGGAAAGGAAGTGTTTAGGACGTGCCTGGAGGCTTTTTACCTTCTGATTCCTGTTGCTCTGCCGCCATCCCCTCCACCTCCACCTCCACCTCCACCCTCCATTGAACGTCTACAGCCGTGCTGACTTCACTCCACTTTTATTCATCATCTTTTGATTTCCACATGCTCTTATAGCGGGAATTTGACATTCATGGTCTGCCAACTTCGGAGCTTCACAGGATGTCACGCTCTGCCATCTCCTCACCCCGCTGACAGTTAAGTCCCAGACAAAACCCAGATTTCTCTTTTGTACGTGTTTAATGTTTGTACAGATGCGTCCGTATAAAAACACACACCTGGCAACTTTGTAGGTTCTGGGAGTTGTTCATGTGACACCAGGAAATGTTTAACCTCCATTGTAGAGAAACAAAAGACTGTTTTAATCCCGCTGTGAGAGGCCGAGGGAGGGTCAGGGGAGGGGCGGAGGGGGAGGGTCTGTGGGTGTGTTCGGGGGCTATGATTTTGTGAGGCAATCGGCTCTTCTCTTTGGACTGTCACTCAGTCAGGGCAGGCACGTCCAGGAGTCCACGGCCGCTGGGATTAAGAGAACCGCTGTGGATGCACACGCACACTGAGGGGATTTATTTTTGCACACATGTACGGAGACTGAGGTGAGGTCTATTTTATTAATGGAGATCTCAGCGGTGTCATCACCTGTTGGGCTGATGAAATGTTCAGAGCCACTGATTTGGCAGATTTGGTGAAAAAAAATCAAACGTCCTGTTTGATTCAACAAAACAGTTGTGTTTGACATGATGAAGAACCTAAATGAATCAACCAGCATTTTAAGTTGACTGGAAAAGGTAAACAGATGATTTTTTTTTTTTTTTTGCGACGTACATGTTTTAAATTTTTGTGCATTTAAAACAGATAGAAAAACCAGTTTGAGTCAATGAAAGCTGGACTTAATTTCAAGCAACATTGGTGTTGGGTAATAAAATAAAATCAGTTATTTTTTTATGGAAAAAGTATGGTCTTCATCATCTTCTATTTATCAGATTTTTTTTTTAACTTTTATCCTGGTAGAAATGTAAATGCCAGTTGAGTCGATCGTCTACAAGGTCACGTCTCATTTGACGGGTTCAGAATGGTTGGAATTCTTCATGCAGCAAAGTTGACGAGAAAAATAAATATCTCTAACAGACTGAATGTTTAATGCAGACGGCATAGAGTAGTATTATGTACATGTATCCCGTTACACAGAAGTTGTTAGAGTTGCAGCACTTCCAAACCTACATATTGTCTTCATTCCGATGTCCGTCCAGTGGACGACCAACTCGTCTTCACTGTTAAATCTCTGTCTCTGCAAACAGTGTCTCTTAATGTAAATGTGTCGTGGGGGAAAATGACACCAATTACTTCTCCCGTCTTTGCTGGTAATGATGCTTCATCATACAGCTGCACTGAAGTTCTAATTAACCAGAGAAGAAACACACGCAGAGACAGAGCGAGAACGTCCCGGCCTGGAGCAGGAAAGTAACAGTCTCATTACAGAATCATGCAACATTTCACTTCCTGGCATTATCTGCAGTGAGCAATGCTTATTCAACCTGAGGACATGCACGTTCCCCGACACGCATGCTAATGTGGAGACACACACAACGTCCTTAGAGATATTTCTCTCCAATTGAGGAATAAAACTCTCGTCAGAACCAGTTAGAATTAGACTTTGGAGGTTGCATGTCTGAATAAGGTTTTTTTCCTCACTAAATAATAGGCTTGGCCTCAGCTTAAAGGCTCCGTACCAGCACCTGTGTTTGTTTGATATCATATAAGTCAAAGCATCAAACCACTTTTCTACTATAAAAGCACTGTTTCACTGAGCGATGAAAGATGACGTTAAATGTTTCCTATTTTGATGCTCGATACTTGTTGTTGTGCCAGTCCAGCAACTTGATACTCCGTAACATCTTTTCACCAAAACCAGCTGTGCAGCAGTCAGCCAGCGTCATGTCTTTTTAACAACAGGAAAGTGGGTCAAAGCTCCGCTCACTGTCTGTTCCGATCAAAGTGTTATTGTGTAATACAGAAACTTAAAATGAAAATTGAAAAAAGTTATTGTTGTTAATGAGAAGAAGATAAAACTGACTTGGCATCGCTGTGTTTAAGGTGGAACTCTCACCTACGCCTGTATCTGTACTGTGTTATAGATCAGTACAATTGTACATTTATTGATACTCAACCTGAAGAAGTGACAAAAAAAAGAGGCAAAAAAAATATTGCTTTGTAAAAGATGGAATGGAGAAAACCCTAGTTCCAAATCTTAAGGAGGCTTTACTTTTAAAACGATTGTGACGGTCCGTCTTTATTCCACCCCAGCTCTTGACTTTCAAATCCTCTCATTATTTTCTGTCTGCACCTATTACATCGACGTCCTCTTTGACCTCCAACAGGAGGGTCCGCTCAGCTGTGTTCTGTAGGGATTTTCACCCCACAGAACCACAACCCTGGCTGGTGTCAGTTCTCCTCCTCGGTCATAGCGCCTATTATCACCATGGTAGCTGAGCTGGACTTAGCTGTGTGATGTCTCTGGGTGGAGGGTGGCAGGACGGCCGGCCCGATGTCACCAGAGGTGGCCCCTTTTGATGGAATTAAGCTTTAGCTCAGTCAAACTGGATGTGGAAAGGTCACTGTTTTTTGGTTGTGTTTCATTCATTGATCTTTCAGCATCAAGCGGCACATTTGCAGCTAACTGATGAATGCACAGTCAGGCAGAAACTGTGTTCTAAGGTCAAACTGCGTGATGAGCCGAACAAAGTGATGCTCAGTTGTGGTGTCAGCCGTGGGATGTTTTTTCTTTTTTTTGTCGGTAATGTGGGTCACGATCCTTTCAAATCAGAGACGTTAGATTTTCTGATGTAATGAACTGTAAGAGAGACTGTCGACTCCACAGGTGTGAGTCAGGGTCGGAGTAAAAACAGAGGGATGGAT